ACTCAAACTGATATCTTAACAGATGAGAACAAATCAGGGGAACTCGAGGACGTCCTCCCTCCACCATCCCCGCAGGAAGTGAAGATTGAAAACGAAGCAGCTGTGGCAGCCACGCCTCGTCGGGGACTACCGTGCTGCCGTCTCTGCCTCCGCCTGTTCCCGAGCACTTTTGCGCTCTTCTCGCACGTTCGCTCAGTGCACAACAGTCGCAAAGCCGGAGACCCCATGTACCTGGAAGAGTTGCGCATGCACAGCCGCCTGGCGTGTCCCATGTGCTACAGCCCGCCCGTGTTTCTGAGCACGCCGTCCAAACTGCGGAGACACCTGGAGAAAACCCACGGGATCATCCATCAGCCGGAGATCTGCAAGTTTTGTCGTCAGGAGTTCTCTGACAGGCAGGAGCTGTCGCTGCACATAGAGCTGAATCATGGAGCATTTGTCAGTGTATGTAAAACACGATGTTGACTCTTTTCTCGTTCCTTTCACCACTGTATGCAAAATATATTTATAGAAGCGTTATTTTGATTTTGTCTTGTTGCGTACTTCAATGCATGCAAAATATTTTCTTGATATTCTTTTGTTTCTATTCTTCAGTTTATGTAAGGCATTATATTGTCGCTGTTTGGTCTCCATTTGTCACTTTTTATAAAGTGTAATAAAGATGCTGTTTTGTTTCCTTTTTTCAGTTGACATAAAGCATTGTATAGATGCTGTTTAGTCTCCATTCATCAGTGCACTTATTGTGTTGTGTTGATGCTGTTTTTTTCCATTCGTCAGTGTGAGTTAGGGGAAGTGGGTGGTTGGGGTGTGGTCTGGTGTAGTTTGCTCCTTCTTTCCTATAAAAAATCTATCGTCTCATCTCCCCTCCTTCTTTTTTATGTTATTTTACTCTCTTGTAACACCTCTAATCTTTGGCACTTATATGACCTTATTGTGTTGCAAGTGCCATAAAAGTCTTACTAAAACTAAAAAGTTAAGGAAAGGACTCTTAATTCTATCTTTATTCTTATCCTCTCACTCCAGGCTTATCACCAGCCCCCTAGCAACCAGTTCCCGAAACAGAACCGAATTGACGGTAGGAGAAGGAGTTTTGGGCAGCAGTGTGTTCCTTATACTGACTACATCTCATGTAACAGGTTAGATTTGTCCAACGAAATATTGTTTTGGCACTTTTCATATTTTGTTCTATGCATAAATTGAACAGTGGAGGATGAGTGATTGATCAAAGCGTACTATCATACTACCATACATTTACAATGCAGATAAGCTTCAGTGTTATGTGTTATTTGGCGGCCGCTTTGATGTGGTACGCTCCTTCTTTCCTGTCGAATGTCTACTGTCCTTATCTCTCCGCCTTCTCTCATTTGTATGTTTCTCTCTAATTACACCTCTAATTTTGGCACTTAGAGCCTGTTTGTGTTGCGAGTGCAGTAAAACTGTTACTAATACTAAAATTATACTAAACATTTACAATTATTTTTACCACCACATTTTCCAGGGGTAACATTTACAATTACCTTTTGCAAAATTTTTCTGGTGCAACATTTACGATAACAATTAATATTTTTGTGTTGTAATTATGTTTATATTATACCTCAGGTTTGATTTTTACCATAACCTTTTACCACTACACCCTCCAGGTGTAACATTCTGTTCCTGGATCGAGCCTCCCTCATCAGCCACACCCTAGCTGTACACCCAGAGCTGAACCAGCCAGACATCTGCCGTTTGTGTGACCGCGAGTTTGACTCTGACTCCAGCCTTGGGAAACACCTGAAGAACTGCCACGAGCAGACACGACTTGGAACACTGCGCTGCCCGTTCTGCCCAGCTTGGCTCCCTGACATGGAGACTGCGGTGGAGCACAAGGCCTCTCTACACTCCGGCGATGTTCCCGTCCACTGCCCTTTCTGCGGCACTGGTGAGTTACAGTGAATTAAAGGCCAACTCCAAAAAACCATGTGTATGAGAAAAAAGGAACAATTGACAGAAAAAAATGACTGTGAATGGAATATAATGTGCCCAGAAACCTAAACTGCGTAAACATCATGTCGATGAGAAAAAAAAGCGCCGAAAAACGGAATTATTTTCTTTTTAAAAAAATACTGCAAATAGAGATGAAAATGAAAATGCTGATTAACAAGGAATACAGATCAGTCATTTTCTTTTGAAAGATACTTGTTAGAGCTCTTTTTCTTTTCAAGTTTAAGTTAAGAGAAGCACATTGACTCAGTAACAGTCATGTTGTACCAGGAAAAAAGCCAGATAGGCAAACAGAAACAGGAGAGGGGGGAAAAAGTCAGGACTGCCTTACTTTTTTCTTGCCCCAAATGACCATCGTCACTTTGAATTGCTTCCGTTTACATACAGTAAGAGCCTAATATTGTGTTGGTGCACTTTTCTCTACTCAGATTTGGAAGCCATTATCATATCTGCTAACCAGTATGTGAAAATATATGAGTACAGAAGTCTATTTTTGCGTTGGAAAAAATACATATTTTCTGTTTTCTAATATTGCTCCTCATGTAATTGCGAATGCTGTAGAAAAAAACAACTGACTTTTTAAGTTTGGATTTGCAAATGATAATGACAATGAGACTGATAGGACAATTGTTGTTGTGTTTATTATCATAGTTAGCTATTGAGTTGGAATATACTGACAACAGAAAAACATGTGTGAATATTTTCCCTTCTGTGTGTTCAGGTTTCCAGAGCCTGTACCCTATGTACAACCATGTGCGCAGCCAGCACCTGGAGACAGAACATCACTCCTGCCCCGAGTGCCACCTGAGCTTCCCCAACGTGCGCATGCTCACGGAACACGCCCGCAAGGATCACATGATCATGCCGCATGTCCTCAAGGAGTTTCTACGCAGCAGCCAGAGCACGTCCTACTGTTGTCCGTTCTGCAACAACTCGTTTTCTCGCACATATGACTTGGCGGTAAGTCAATGTTTTTTTGTAGACTTGTTTTTAACGAGCGGGGAGCATTTTTGTCATGTAACAGTTATGCGTCAGTGTTTTTCTCAAACTTTATATATGAGTATGTTGTAGTGTCTCTTATTTTATGAATTAGAAGTATATCAATGTTTTTCATAACCTTTTCTTTAAATGAACATTGAGCAATTTTGCGATATGTGTCACGACGCAGTGGAATCAGGCGCTCGTCCATTTTTGGACATGTGGAGATATTGGTATCATCTAAACGCTGATTTATTTGCTTTGCTTCCTATTAAATAAATATCCATCTATCTTGAATAGAACTCAAGATATTTTCTATCAAAGTAAATGTGGTCGCCTAGCTCCAGTGGTGAAATAAGTGAGAAAATGGCCGCCAAAGTTTGGTAACTCCAATTGCTAAAGAGTCCTTGAAAACTGAAAAATGGCATACTTTGTGCCTTTAATCAATGTTTTTCAGAAAAATTCACATGGAAATGTGTTTTTATACAGACACAGAAGAGGTTGAGCCCAAAAATAAAAATTCGATAAAAATGTCCAAACTTTAGGAAAAATGAGTTTTTCTCAGTTTTCTGTATTTTGACGAGCGCCTGATTTCACCACACTGCCTCACATATATATGATACTGTCACTTGTTTCATGACTTGGTGGTGAAGTCAATTTTTTTTTTGGTAAAGTGGAATGTTTCTGTGGTTGAAAAGTTTCCCTTGTTATTTAATTGGAAGTATGTTGATGTTTTATGCAGTATTTTTGACTAACTATAGTGTCTGCTATGTAGTGGTACTTTTTACTGTATTCTAATGCCTTTAATTTGGCAATCAATCAGTGTTTTTATCCACCTCTATCACTCCTTTTCAGTCGTAAATAGTCTTAATTTCATCCAACTTTACGACTTTGACAGTAATGATGAAAGTTTTCGTTTCTGTATTTTAATGATATGACAACTAACTGATTGTTGACACTATTATTTCCCACTGTTGATGATTATACAACTCGTTGTCCTCCCTACTCCCTCCCTCCCTGGCCAGGTTCATGTTGTGAATGGCCACCGGCAGCTCCTGCTTCCCGTCAAGTGCCACTGGTGTATGCAGACGTTTGTCAGTGAGCTCATCATGAATATGCACATGTCTGAGGCTCACGCAGGTAGGACCGATTTCTTTGAGCCTGACGTAAACTAGCATAGATTGAAATGATGAAACTGCTTGAGGTTAGATCGCTTGAGAAATCGCTAAACAGGTGAATTTGAAGCCTTAAAAAGTGAATAATATATTGCCTGTGTCTTTTTTTATGGTAGGTTTTTAGTGTGGCTGTTTGGTGATTTCCGTTGCTTAGATTGCATAAATTAGGACGGTACTGAATTTGTATTACTGCTCCCACACTCTGATGCGCTGGTTTTAATTGCGCGTATATGTTTAGTTGTGTGGATTGTATTAGACTAGTAGACGATCAGGTGGAACAGAAGTCAAAATGGTCCAGTGACTGACGGTCAAGTAGGTTAGAAACATTACAGCAGACCCTCAAGTGGGCAGGCACTCTCATTGTCGTTCTCGTTCAAATTTATGGGTGGTTACAGGGTGCCACTGGTAGGTCCTACATCTTTACTATCCCTCTGTTGGTTCTGTCTGTCTGTCTTGCTCTTTTCCTGAACTGAATGAGTGCACCTGTGATTGGAGAGTGCCACTGACTGTCTGTATTTTTCCTAGTACTGAATGATCATTATTGTGTCAATGTGCTTTTCTTTACTCAAATAAAACGAATCATTCAAATGTGTATCCCTTTGTTCCTTTCTCCCCAGTTCCCCTGAACCAAACTGTGGCTCCTCCTGGCAACAAGAGCTACCACCACCTGGCCCCTCCCCCTCCCCACTACATGGAGGGGATGGACAGTGACTCTGTCACCGTGGTGCTTGAGGGCATGGACGGGGAGGATGTGTTTGACACACATCACCACCACAACCCGCACACACACAGGCGCATGCTTGACTCGCGCGAGATGCTGGAGACGCACGGTGAGGTTTTTTTAAAATGAGTTGATTCTTCTTTTTCTTCTTCTTCTCCTTCTTCTCCTCCTCCTCCTCCTCTGAGTTACTTGACTCTTGATTCTTCAACTTTAAGTGCATTAAGTTTTCACATGTATTACCCATGTGGATGTGCACAACCTGTGGGCTTCTCTCTTGGTTTCTGCAGTTCTATTTGGTTGAGCTTCAAATTCTCACGATGAGCTGTTATGTTACACCTGCCCTCCCTCCCCAACCCCCCTTTTTTTTGGCGCCACTTCCTTTACGTCTTTGACGTTGCTGGTCACCTTTGTCTAGTGGGATATGTATGTATTCTATTATAGACCAGGCTTCCTCGTGAAGATCTGTGACAAGGAAGTTTTGTTTTAATTTTTTGGTCATCAGAGGCTGCCAGTTTCATAGAAGACCTGGAGGAGCAGCATGAAGAGACCATCATCTACTTCAACAACCAAAACAGAGTGGTCAGCATCCCAGCTGGACAGCACGGTCAGTCAGTCTGTGTTTTGTTTGGTGGACAGTTTGTTGTTATTGTAGAGACTCTTTTTACAGTGTCAGCCTAATGTGGTTATGACATACCTACATTAGAACAACAAAACAAACAACAACAAAAAGAGACAATAACAACGACAACAAATTAAACCTTAATAGGGCTAGAAAAGGCATGACACTTATTTTGTACACATGTATTCATTTTGATCTCACTAGCCAATGTCAACTAGGTGGAGTTAGAAAAAATGTTCAACTTATTTTGAGAGAATATGTTCAGCTGGTAAAGTGGTAAGGCTTGCTGGACGTGTGAATTTGCGCTATACTATACAAATTCTTGCTTAATTTTTATTGACTAAAATGACTAATTGAACTGACGCTGTTTTTCGAAGCGTTTTTATTCAAGTCATAAGCGCATTGAGTCATCGAAAGTACAACCGAAAATAACAGCATCCAGGAGAAGTCTAACGGTAATCGATGGAGTAGTTGTTGATTTAGAAAGTGAAGCTTGTAGTTCTTTAGCAGACAACGGTTCTCCTGGTCCAGATGATGAGGAAGAGGTGGGTCTATTTATGCCTGGAGGAATTTTTTTTTTCTTTTGGTGTGATGGACCACATTTTGTTCAATAAACTGCATCAAAGCTATTGTTTTATTAGCTAAAGATGCTATCAACTAAAACGTTCTATTGTTCTAGTTTCTGTAACAGAAAACTGTTTTGTTCTATCTCTGTAATGTTTTTATGGGCCCTTACAAAAGGCTTAAATTTATGAGTCACCAGCGAATGAAGCTGTGTCTAACCCTGCGTCTGCAAAGAGTTCAGTGAAATGGATAGAAAAAGTGCCAAAAGTGTGTTTTGTGTGGGTTTGTTTAGGTGAAGTGGACAGAAAAAGGTGCTAAAAGTGTGTTTTGTATGTGCTTTTGTATAGGTGAAATGGATAGAAAAATGTGCAAAAAGTGTTTTGTATGTGCATTTATCTAGGTGAAGTGGATAGAAAAAGTGCCAAAAGTCTGTTTTGAGTGCATTTGTTCAAGTGCAATGGATAGAAAAAGGGGCCAAAAGTGTGTTTTGTGTGTGGGTTAGTTTACGTGAAGTGGATTAGAAATAAGTGTCAAAAGTGTGTTTTGTGCGTGGGTTTGTTAGGCAAGATGTTTGAGGAGGTGTCAAAAGTGTGTTTTGTGTATGGGTTTGTTCAGGCGAGATGTTTGAGGAGGTGTCAAAAGTGTGTTTTGTGTATGGGTTTGTGTAGGCGAGATATTTGAGGAGGTGTCAAAAGTGTGTTTTGTGTATGGGTTTGTGTAGGCGAGATGTTTGAGGAGGTGTCAAAAGTGTGTTTTGTGTATGGGATTGTTTTGACGAGATGTTTGAGGAGGTGTCAAAAGTGTGTTTTGTGTGTGGGTTTGTTTAGGCGAGATGTTTGAGGAGGTCCAGCTGCTGGGCGAGTCGGCGGAGGAGCTGGGCCTGCAGGGCGTGGACTACCTGGAGACTCTGAGCAACGACAGCATTGCCGTGGCCGCCGACGTTGTGGCCGATGTGATGGAGGACATGGCCCGGCCCGGCCTCTCGACGGACGTCATGGCCGCAATGGCCGGCACAGGGGGCACTACTGTTGTCACACAGGTTAGTAAATTTGTTTCCCTTAGATGCGGAAAGAATCCACATGGACCCCTTTCTTTTTGTTTGTTTGTTTTTTCCCCTTTCTTCTCGTCCAGTTTTAGTGAATGAAGGTACATCTGTAGTGTTGAGCAAGCATGTTGGTGACATGGGGGGGGATTAAAATTGTGAAATTGGCTTTTGTCTTCAAGAGAGAGAAAGATTGATCTTTTTAAAAATTTGGCACTGCTGCTATTTAGATTTCTGATATTTTGTATCTGGCTGTATGTATCTCATTGTAAAACTAAACTCTTAACAAGTATCAAATACAATTGTCTTTTGTTTGTTTTTTGTTTGTTTGTATGTTTTGTTTATTTTTATTTTTATTTGTATTTTCTTGTTCCTCTGTGCTTTGCACTGTTGTGTTGTTTGCTTCTTGTTTTCTCTTTTTAGAGTGTCTGTCGTTGTACTCTTTATCTGTGAAAATATGGCCTTTGCACTCTGAGCAGTATGCATCTCTATTTGACTCTACTCATCCCTTTTACTCCCTTTGGATGGGATAGCAAAAAAATAGCTGTATTGAGACGTTTCACCTTTGACATCCAGGAGGGTAGAAAATGACGTCGTGAGTGAGTTAAAAAACCTAGACGAAAAAGACAGTTATTGTGCTGATTTGCTTCTCTTCACTAACACCAAGCTACTTTTGTTCAGGTGAATCAAACAGAGGACATTCTGTACCCGGTGAACCAGCTGGAGGTGGACGGCGTCATGTACGAGTTCACCAACAGCCCGGGACCCTCAGGGGGTCAGGGTTCGGTGCCTCAGCAGTACGAGGTGGTGGCCCAGGACAACCACGGTGGCTTACACGGTGGAGAGGAGACCATCACCATCGACGCGGCAGACATAGCACACCTGTTTCAGCAACAGGGGCTTCGGCACAGTTCCTTGTAGTAGTCGCAATAGCTTTCATATTGTTTTGCAGGGTTGCTTCTTTTTCTGGGAGTGAACATTTGTTGTGCTTACATGGCCGAATGAAGTGGATGATGCCGTAAACCATATAGGCCTACTTGAAGGGAAATGTAGAAAATGAAATCATGTGAAGTTTATCTTGTTTTGAAAGACTTGATGTATTTAAAAGTGCAGGGGTACGGGTAAAACTCCTCCTATAAGAGTCTGATTATCAGTGAGGTTGTGATCATTTTCACACTTTAAAAGACCAAAAAAAAAACTCCCCCAAAAAACCTCAACATAACCAGCATGAAGGAAGGAAATCAATTTCTGTCATGGCTGCAAACATTGCTGTCCCTATCCGTACGCTCTGGGATCATTTTGTACCCCCGGGTTGTATTCTTCACATTTTAGAACACTTCTAGTACAAAGATCTCTTTGAAACTTTCAGTATTTCTCAAAAAATCATTTTGACTGACTGCTGTGCAAAGCGTACGGATGGGATGAACGAGTGAATTTCCTCTTTGGAAAGTGGTGGCACAGAGTTCCCAGCGTCGCATGGATACGATAGTAAAACACGTCGTACGGATAGGGTTAATGATTGTAAGGCTGTTCCAGCGCCAGGGGCTGCATTTGTGGAAATTTCTGAGTAATATGAAGGCTTGGAAAAGTCTTCCTATAGCAGTTTGAGTGTTTCAATTTGTGCATGGGGTCAGTTTGGATTTTTGATTGTTGTTTTTTTAATATTGAATCCGACTCTTTTAACAATCAATGTCTGAGGGAAGCACTTGATTTTATACTAACCTTTCAACTGAAAGATTTTAAAGATTGGAGTGCGTTACACTTTGGAATATGCAAGCTAGTTATTTTGAACTTTTTAAAATAAATAGATTTCTCTGCAAATGAAATTTATTTTTTTAGAGTTTTAGTTTTTAGTTCTGGACAGTAGGAATGAAATTCAGTATATCTCTGTAATCAAGATATATTTTTACATTCTGAGTACAAAAAAGTTTGTACCGGTGTTCAGCTTATACTTCTGCAATTTGTTTAATGATGACATTAATCAGTGGAGTCTGAGAATGGGATATGGCATTTTGGTTCTTAAAAATTTTCTCTGTGTTCTGCAAAAGCTTTCCTATTTATTATTACTTTCTCCTCCAGTAGGATATTCTGTAAATAGTTACGAATTTGACATGGCGTAATATATTCTTGGAACGGAAGACCTTGAAATTTAATTTTTTATTTGACAGGGAAGTGAAATTTTCTAGGAATGTAAGACCTTGACATTAAGTTGTTTAATTGACATGACAATGACAGAATATTTTCTTAAAAGCGAAAGTTTCTAAAATCAAGTTGTTTATTTGACATGACGTAATATATTCATAGAGCAGAAGAGGTGGATCTAAGCCAGTGCTTACCAACCTGCGCAATATCACCCACTAATGGACAATCTGGTTATTTTGATGGGCGGTGGGGATCACGTGGGTAGTGACAGGTGTTATCTAATGTCCTGCTTGGAAATACATGGTGGTGGGTGGTATGAACATTTTAGTCTCTTAAAGATGGCAAAAATAGGTGCTGGCTATAAAAAGGTTTATGAGCTCTGATTTATTGTTTATTTTTCACGTCACAGTTATACATCTAAATATTTTTAATCATGTTATTGTATGTGTCCAGAAAAGGTCAAGAATTTTGCCTTCTCTGCCTGACGGCCGTGGAATATTTCAGTTGAAATCACAGTTCTGTAATAATAAAACATGAGTTTTCCTTTGAAATCACAGTTCTGTAATAATAAAACATGAGTTTTCCTTTTGATCTCATAATTTAATTTTTGTTGAATGTAACCCTGCAGTATTAAATGGTGAGATGTCTTTGTTCTGTTGATAGCCTAAATGAATGTAATGAATACTCACGTCGAATGGCATCTGCTGGAACATTTTTGTTTTATTCTCTTTCTGTTGCACTTCCTGATTACATATGTTGTAGCATATATATATATATATATATATATATATATATATATATATATATATATATATATATATATATATATATATATATATATATATATATATATATATATATATATTTCAGTTTCAGTGCTTTTTTCAAACATTTTGTTTGGAGGTTGTGTCAGGCTCTTGTTTTGGAGTTTTCCATTTACAAAATGTTTCCTGGTCTATACAGTCTTAAATTTTAAAAGGAATTACTTAGGGATGCTGTTTAACCTCAACTATTCTGAACTCTGAAAGCAACATTTTTCAGGAGAGAGAAAAAAACCTCATTCTTCTTCAAAGTGTACCTGCTTTATGTATCTTTTCTTGCTTTTATCAAAATCTAGAATTTGAATTTCAACAAAACATTTCAATACATGTATAACCAATACCTCAAGTCATGAAACTGAAATATCTTTTTTAATTCAAAATTTTGAAGGGAGTAGCCTACATCTCATCAGCTACCAACGACATAGAGCTTATTAAAGAGATTAATAAATAGATGCTTGCTTTGGCTCTCAGTCAAAGATTCAACCCTTTACACTCCTGAAGCGAATACAGCTCTATAATGTTTGTTTACAGAAGTCATAGTCATTATATTCATTTCCGTAGTTCTTTGATGCTTCATTTACTTGATAGTCCCGCTGTATTGTAGTAAATGTATCAATACAGTAGTCTTCGTCTGAACCCACACTATACGAAGGCATGCGCCATTCAAATGTACGCTATCATCACATGAGAATTTTCTAGATAATTTAGATGTTCGAAAGCATAGTCACTTCCTCTAAACACACGCCTCAACCTGCACCGTACTGTCCAGGGACGTAGGATTGGGCGAGTCTTATGTTAGGGTGACTGAAATATCTTTTTATTGGTCACTGGAAATGCATCTTTGAGAGGTTTCTCACCTGTATTTGGGTTTCCTTATGTTCCCGATAAAGTAAACAGTAGAGTGCAGTGAGTCGATCTCTCTGCTTTTTTCCATTACTCAATTTAACACCTTTGTAGGCGTAACTGCGATCAGAGAATCCTGTACAAAATATTTTTGTGTCATCACATTATTGGACAAGTACTCTTTGAAAAGCTGTGTCAGCTTTTCTTTTGTAACCCTGTTTTGTAAACCCCCCTCCCCTCCACCTCATTGGAGGGTAACAATCATCACTAAACTGAAATATTAAGGAAATGAGATGGTTTTATACTTTTCACCTTTTGGTCAGTTTCATGTTTATGCACCTTCTGTGTAAACGCATGCACTGGAGTCCTCCTACTCCTGATCTCTGTGCTTTTAGGCGGAGACTACTGTACTGAATATTTTGCACAGGTCTGCAGCCCCCCCTTGCATAAAAATTCGCCTTTTGACTTCTGTTACATGAGCAAACTGTTTTGTGCTCCTAATTTATTTCAGGTCATCATGCTTTCATTTCCCTCTGTGCAGGACTGAATGATCTTGTTTGTTAGAGCTATGTGTTTCTTTGTTTCATACACCGGTGTGCGTATGACCATTTTTCTGTCCTGACTCACTTTATTTTTTATGAAAAACTTTGTTTTCAGTGACCTTTGTTTACAGTGACTCACATTGTTTGTCACAGACATCGAGAAACACACATTGTTTCACTCACAATACGTAAAGGCAGCAACTTTCTTGGGTGTATTTATAATGGTGTCTCTGATACCATACATTTTTATGATGTGATATGTGCCATATTAATAATGTGAAACTTTCAGTGGAGTCTTCTTATAATACACTCATAAACAGGGGAAAAGATATTAATTTAAAGACCTGTTCAAATAAATACCTATAGTATATTTACTAAACCTTTGCTTGAAATAAGGTCAAAAGTTTGTTCTGTGGAAGTTTGTTATAAGCAATGCCCACTGTGTGCCGATTACAGTTGTCGTGCTTTTTGTTTACTATTCCATTCTGTGTTGTGATGTTACTGATATTTTTCTTTTACTTCCCTCTGATGTTTCTATCTTTTTCTTTGCAATTAATTAAGGGCTATTATTGTGCCGATTTGCTTCTCCTTAGGCACTACAAGGAGACTGCCTTATGCAAAAGTGACGGGACAAGTGTAGGTGCTTCCATCACATATCTGGTGCTCACTGTCTTGACATCTAGTATGTAATTTTACTGTTTGATATGTCCGTGGCATCACATAATAAACTATGAAGAGCACAGGGGGAAAATGACACAAGTCACAATTTTCAACCCTTGCGCGTGTTTGTTTTTTTGCTCTATTGTTTGGCTGGTTCTATCTTTGACTGTCAAGTTCATTTTTATTAGAAATTCTATAGTTACGGAATTTTGACATCTTTAAAACTGTCGTAGAAGGACATAAATGGAGGTAGATTTAGTTCACTCGAAAGTAAGGCCGTAGTCTTCTATTTCTATTGTGTCCTATGCAATATTTCTCACTAAATTTTCCTTTGTTGATGAGACAAAGATAGAAGTTTTGTTTGAGACATCTTTATGAGGGATCTGCTGGATGACACACACCCTTTGCTGAGAGCTAGAGGTGACTATGTTTAATGACAAAAGTGAAATCTTTGGGCAAGGTGTAAATTGGAAAATCTCGGACATAAACATGTTGGGAACTGTGATGGAGGCAAAACTTGGAGAATAGGTTTGATATTTACAGACTAGTTTGGAATGTCATTTGAACACCTGTTTTGCTTTTTTAGGTATAAATGGACATGTTCACTTTTGGCTCTCAGTAAACAATTTTTGGTAAAAATAGTGTTAGCTCACCATGAAGGACATATTGCTCTCATAGACATGAACATTTAAAACAATATAAGCATTTGAAAAATGATATTTACGTACAGTTACATACTTTCAGCTTCACAAAAGCAAGGCTTAAGCCCCCTCCCACCATATTAAAAAAACAAAAACAATGTAGAGGGTTGTTTAATGACATACCGGTATATCTATTTAGTTTTTCATTACCGTATTGCTTGACTGCAAATTATGGATGTGTTGAAATACATTTGTCAATTCTTTCCCGATGCGTTTGAGTTATCCATGGCCAGTTGCATGTATAAATATATTTTCTCAAGAACTGATATGGTAGGCTATGTCTACTTGCTGCATTATAGATGCATGAAAATTATTTTTAATTTATGGAATCTCCACAGCATTGTCACATTTCTGTGAACTGTTTATCTTGTTTCCTCATAAACCTGATTTGTTATGGAATTAAAAACGTTGAAAGATTTAATGAGCTTCCTTTATTTTTTTGGGGTATTATGTTTAGTTTATGTCACAGTCACATGTGATCAAAATGTCTGATATAGCTTAAAATTGTATCAGTCCTAAGATACATGTACAACTAAATGACGATCAAAATGTTTGATATAGTTTTAAAAATGTGTCAGTAAGCAGAGGACCTCTGGTAGGTCCTCCTTTCAAAACTACCGTTGCTGCTTCTCTCAGTCTGTATTGCTCTTTCTCTCCTGGCAATACACAAACATTGTGTTAATGTCCTTCTTTTGTGCAACAAATGTGAGATGTGCTGACAAAACTTCTCTGATTTTAGCCTTTTATAGAAATTGATGCATCAACTAGTTTGTAAGTATGGAATAATAAAAGACACAGTAGATTTAAAGAAACTGGCATCAATCGAAAATCTATCAATCTGACCCCAGTGTCAATTTTTAGCCGATATCTCCATTCTACAGATTGCGAGAAGAGACTTAATTTGTTAGCAAGCCTCACAAATATTTTACTTCAATTTCAAGAAATTTTCTTTAGAATTGTAATTGTAATTGCATTTTTGTATTATGTTGCTACTGGCACTGGCATCTGGTGCAATGATTTGCAACTCTCTAAAGGGGTGAGTTTGATTTCCCAAAAAGACAATTCAAGACAGTTTCCTTGGAGGCAAGATACCTTCACCCATCCTGCATGTTAGGGCTACCCATGCAGCAACACAGAGATATACATGTACTTAACTCATCGGTGTATATTCTTAATTGTTTGTTTTATGTTTTAGTAGAGGTTTTTCGGCGCTCGCAACTGCATAAGGTCATATGAGCGCCAGAAGATTAGAGGCGTTACAAGAGAGTAACAAACAGAAGAAGGGGAGATAAAGACGACAGATGTTTGATAGGAAAGAAGAAGCAAACCACACCAGAGCACCCGCCAACCGCCCACATTCCTAATTGTGGAATCAAACTCATGGCTTTTGTGTGCAGTGCAAAGATCTTAAGCATAACATCATAGACTCAGGTCACCACACACTAAACTGAGATCGAGGTAATCAAAAACACCAGATGAAGAGGAAGAAACGGAGGGAGAGCACTGAGGAATGGAAAAAGAATGAGAAATCTAGAAATAACCCTATTAGTAAAGGACGCAGAGCATTGGTAAACTGGCAAGACCTGGTGTAAGAAGTGTCAGGCACATATGGACCATCTACCAGCAAAGACCACTCTATTTCAAATGTCATGCTGATGTTTTATGATTTTTGTATTTGCTGAATTTTTACACCTATCAATGAAGTGATGTATTTGATCCCACTTTGCAACATTGTCAAAAAATCAAGTTTTGGAGATGGTCCATTAGTAATCTATCAATTATAGTGAATGTTTTATGGCACTTGCAAAACAAATAGGTTATGTGCTGAAGAAACCATACAAGAGCCCCCATCAACCACCCACAGCTCAATTGTGCCCAACACTATCGACATTAACAGTTTGAATCGTTTATAACTCAGGACAACAACGAAAAAGATGCTGATGATATCGAGGATAATGATGATGTCCCCACCAAATAATGAGAATTAGGTAAACGGCAAAAAGAAGCGGAAAATAAATCAGGCAGATTTTCATTCAGTACTGTAAATTTATTTGATTTTGACATTAAAATAATGCAGAGGTACTGGAAACAAATTCCAAACAGACAGCTCATCTTCCTGGACACAGCTGTGCTCCAAATAGGTGAAATTTATTTCATAGCTGCCAACTTTTCAAAAATAAATAAAAAACGGACTCAGGTCAAAATGGTGGACTCTCTCCAAACCCTTCACACACATTTTTCTGCATTCAATAAACTCATGTTCAGCAGGAAACTATGGTAAAGGACATAACTACGATTGACCTATCAGCTTCGTTCTCACATTGTTATTATTCTCAAATTCAGTCTTGAAACTTCATGATTTTCCCTCAGCATTCACAAGTCCGTGAGGAGCAATTCTAGAACCCATAAAAAAACAAATTCTAGAAACCATAAAAGAATCATACTTTCATAGTTGGACCTTCAAAAGCACATTATAATATTTTGTTGTGCTAGTTGGCAGCTATGTTATCTACCGTGAGACCTAAACAGGTGCTCAAAGACAGAAGTCAGAAGACAATCAAAATGTCTGATGTAGTAATAGTAGTTTAAAATCCTTTGCAAAATAAATCCTTCCTTATAACCGTTCAACACAATAACCATCATTTAGTGCAGAAAAAAAAAAGAAAGACAGGCAGACAGAAACATCAAATGGCACGAAAAGAAGTAGGATCTGCCAATGGGACCATCCAACTACCTGCATTCTCATTCTGTTAACATTTATTGTTGATGTTTTCCAACTAGACCTGTAAAATCTATCATCAGTACAGCATGAAAAAACGCACCATAAGGTACCACTTTCACTGTTTTCATGCAGAATTTAAACATGTCGGTAATGGTCATTCAACATCACAAAGAAAAAGTAATAGACAAATGGAGCCACTATGGACAGGGTTATGGTCACTTACTAGACTTGAACTTGATTATAAAGTCAGCAGATGGTTTAAAATCTGAAATCTGAATTCAATTTAATTATTTCTTTTCATTTCCATCAAAACAGTATCTAACATGGGCTGCTTAGAATTTATTGAAAGTATACATTCAGGCTGAGAACAGGTTGCGGGAAAACTTTTTTGGAAGTTACCACTATGTACAGATTTTCAAGCTGACTTGTCGTAAAAATGACAGACCTCAACGACATTCGACAGGAACTGCTATGGTCAGGTTAAAAAGAAAAGAAAAATGCAGCAGTGTCAGGGAACAGTGGCCTTTAGTACAGGTGACCGCTTTGGAGAGGTGATTGTGCAGCAAAACGTACATTCTCAGCTCTCACTGGATCGGATTCAAGTTAAATGTTCGCGATCTAGACCCATGTATGACCATGCAAGAAACAGATTCAAAACATGTGTTGACATTTTGTAATTTCAAAAATGCATCACAAATGAGATCATGTTCAATGATCAAGACAGACTTCTTTTTTATGAGTTTCTATAAAATCTAATAATTAACTAGCAATTAAAATGATGTTTCACACAAAAACACTTAAAACAAAAGCTTCCGTGTATAAAGAACTGGGAATAAAGTCATAGTACTGACAAAATAAAAACTGTTTCTGGAAACTTTCGTCATCAAGTTTCGAATTCTCTGGAAGCGATGGAGATGGATTGTTGAAACTCATCATGATCCTGCAACTGGCACCACAAGGCAAGACCCTACCTGGAACCTACTAGTGAAAAGGAAAAGAGGAAGGCCAAATGATGTAGATGTAAAGGTAAGGAAGACCGGACAATCACTAAATACAGCTAGAAATGGAAACAGACAGACAGAGGAATCGTGATTACAAAAGAGAGCTCGTTGGCCACCTTTGCTTCACAAAGGCCAAAGGCAGAGGTAAGTACAAAAAAAAAGTTCAGTATGTTGGAGTTCAGTCCTCTCATAAAATGTAAGCCTTGTAGCCAGAGATAGAAAGAGAAAGTAAGAGGCTTTTGTTTGTTTGTGTTTTAGTAAGTTTTACAGCACTTACAACATAATTAGCTTATG